CACCTAAAAGGTGGGAAAATCATTTCCCCTCACGCCTAGAAATGGGCGCGTGAGGGGAAAATCATTCCCTCATTTGCCTGGCAAAAGATTGCCTTTCAAACACCAATAATTGGCTGAAAATGGAAAATATTTTCCTTTTCCATTCATTTTCCACCCTATCAAACACACCCTAAGTATTTTATTCTTCATTTATTAGTTGATTGCTTCCGAAATTGCAGATAAGAAAGGACACAACTATGGCAAGGCACATTGAATTACCAGGTGTTCCTCAACTAGTAACCTGCCTTTCTTCCTTCAAAAAATCAGATAAATTCACACAATCTGGTATGAATGCTTGGCAAGGAGTCAGATTTATTCAATTATCGAATTCCAGGATTACTGAGACAAAATATAATATATATGGCATGAGATTCATTTATTATGCACGAACTAATTAATGCCACACCTAAAGAAAGAGAGAACAACTTATTTTCTTAGAAAACACTTTTATGCTACCAAAATTGTAGATCAAAATCGAGATTGAATTACCATTATCCCATTATACCAAGTCAAATCACAAAATAAGAATGAAAGTATGCATTATTTCTTAATTGGCAAACACACTAATATAATAATATAGAAGTACAACATTGAGTAAAGTTGAAGGCTTTACCGCTCCAGGACCTTCTGTGCATGGACCCCCTACCAATGCGATAATCCGTGCACCAGTTCCCACTGTAGATGCACCCAGCAACCCTGCAGCCACGCTCAATGCAACTCCAGTACACCTCAACGCTCTATTGCCTGGTGCCACAGGCCACTGATCTGTCCCCAACTCATCCAACAACTACAACACAAGACATGAAAAGCAATTAATGATCAATCGCACAGCGTTCAGCAACTCTCAGAATAATATAAGTTAACTGGAACAATAAAATCTTTTTCTGCCAATCAAAAACATTTCAGCATAAAATGAGTTTGGATGCAATTCACATTCCAAATCCAACAAAAATAAATGAGCATCAAATGCACAGATGAAAAAGTATTTTATCTCAAATTTTGATTTAGTAAATAATTACCGAATTGAGTGTGTATTCACATTCAGAAGCTGGCAACAAAAACCGGTTAATTCCCGTATTAACAGACCCGGCCGTGGGGCTTAGTTGGCCTCCGGGCTTCTGAACACCTGTCCCAGCCCGCCTGCCACCAGTAGAGCTGAGCCCCAACTGCTCCAAGACTTGATCTTTAGACAACTCCTTTGATCCCCTAAATACATAAACCTTTGACATCTCCAAGAACCCTAGCTCATGCAGTTGCACCTGAGTGCCATATGAAATGAACCCGACCATCGCATTGTCCGGAAGCATCCCAATAGCTCGTTTCAATGCCGATTTTGCAAAATCCAGCTCCTCTTCAATCACACACGTATCGATAACAAAAAGATAGATTGGCGTGGGTGGGACAACAGGAACAGAATTATAATTCTGGGGGTTTTGGGGGTAATTGGGGATGGCGTATTCAATGGAAGAGAAATTCGGATACAATTCCGCGGGTAAATTAGTCTGTGAAATGGAGTTGTAATGTTGTGGAAAATGGTTCCGCTGGAAACAGAAAGGGCAGATCCATAAAAGGGCAGTGAAATCAACGCGGCAAAATGGATTCAGGACAGATGAACACGACTTGCAACGTAAGGGAATGTACGGGAGGACGTGTAGATCGACGTGGGGGCGGATCGGCTGGATCGAGGCGGCGATAGGGATCACACACTTGGAAGCCTCGACCTTCGTACGTGGCCAGTTGTTCCACGTCATCCGAATGCCCTCGATTCCCTCAGGATCTGTCTGGACTAGCTCCGGCGCCGCCATGGATGATTGATTGATTGATACAACGAATGGGGGTTAGAATTGATGAGCTTGAATTGGGGGTTTTCGGAATGGAAAATTGAGCGAGCGACCCCTGAGAGGGAGACGTGAATGGGAATTGGGAGGGAAGAGGGGCCGCTCCGAAAGAAGAGTCAAGAGACAGGTGAGTATGAGAGTGCAATTTCGTGTATTGCAGATTTGCAGGGAGTTAATTGTTTCATTAGCCACTGAACGTTCATAAATGTCACGGTTTACCCACTCACCTTTAAAACTTATCCCACTGGCCACTCAACTTTAAACCGTCCCACTCCGTTGGCCACTGGATCAAAACCGTTAGTAACGTTGTCCACGTGACTGATGGAAAGATGACGTGGCACGTTAAATTCCACGTAATGCCATGTGTGCAAGTGGATTACTCACCGAACTTTGCTCCATGTCGCGGATTACCCACTGAACTTTGCTATATGTCACGAATTACTCACCGAACTTTGTTCTATGTCACGGTTTACTCACCGAACTTCCAAAATTGTCCCGTTGGCCATCGAACTTCACTCTATCCAACTTCATCACGCACCCAAATTAAGATGATGTTTGACGGGGATTAAAATTGAATTTTTTGGTAGATTGTGATAGAAGTTTTTGAAATATGTGGTTGAAAAGTTGTGGGACACATGAAATGGTTAGAGACGCATTTTGTCATATTTAATCAAAGCGAGATTCAATTATATTATGAAATGCGTGTTTGGTAGTGATGATTAGGGTTTGGCAAAAAGTCCGAACCGAATCGGATTCGAACCAAACCAAATCGAAAGGTTTTCTTAAATTAAATACCCGAGCGAGTATCTGAATCGAGAATCGATGAGTTCGGTTCGGTCACCTATTCTAGACCAAGAACCGAATAAGAACCGAATTTCTCTGAATTTTTTAATTTTTTTTATATTGTATAAATCAAATTATTTTAATTTTTTCTACACAATTTAACTAATTAGTTAATTAATGCTCCAACTTCCAAACTTCTGCTAGAAAAAATTAAAATAATTTGATTTATCCAATATAAAAAAATTAAAAAATTCAGAGAGATTCGGTTCTTCTTCGATTTTTGGTTTAGAATAGGTAACCGAACCGAAAGATACTCGTTCGGGTATTTAATTTAAGAAAACCACTCGGTTTGGTTTGGTTCGGATCCGATTCGGTTCAGACTTTTTGCCCAACCCTAATCATCACTACCAAACACGCATTTCATAATATAATTGAATCTCGCTTTGATTAAATATGACAAAATGCGTCTCTAACCATTTCATGTGTCCCACAACTTTTCAACCACATATTTCAAAAACTTCTATCACAATCTACCAAAAAATTCAATTTTAATCCCCGTCAAACATCATCTTAATTTGGGTGCATGATGAAGTTGGATAGAGTGAAGTTCGGTGGCCAACGGGACAATTTTGGAAGTTCGGTGAGTAAACCGTGACATAGAACAAAGTTCGGTGAGTAATTCGTGACATATAGCAAAGTTCAGTGGGTAATCCGCGACATGGAGCAAAGTTCGGTGAGTAATCCACTTGCACACATGGCATTGACGTGGAATTTAACGTGCCACGTCATCTTTCCATCAGCCACGTAAACAACGTTACTAACGGTTTTGATCCAGTGGCCAATGGAGTGGGACGGTTTAAAGTTGAGTGGCCAGTGGGATAAATTTTAAAGGTGAGTGGGTAAACCGTGACATATATGAAAGTTCAGTGGCTAATGAAACAATTAACTCATTTGCAGGGGGTATTTTAATAGCGTTATTGTTCTACTCAATACCCTTTCACATTTGCTTCGAACCATCTTGATTTTTGTAATTTTATAGTTGTATTGAGCTCAATTTGACAATCATTATTTTAATTTTTTAAAAATACTAATCAAAGTTAAATGTGCATTACACGTTATTTTAAAATATTTTATAAATCATGTATTTTATTTTCTTTAAATCATGTAAAAATAATATTTGATATCAATTTATTATGAGAGTTTGATGAGTCTCAGATGAATTAAAGAAAATAAAATTTAGGATATTGACACGCGTTTTACGCAACGTGAATTATACCGCAAGTTTACGATGTCAAGTTTTGTAATATAGTAAAAGTGTTACGTGTCGAACCCACTGTGACTGTAATTTAATTCCTACCAAGTATTATAATTATTTTAGCTTTTGCATTATTTAGACAAAACAATTTTCAATTCCATGTTTTTATCCTAAAATAATATGAATGTGCGATTATTTAAATGGAAATAAAACAATTTAAAGAAGAATATCAATGTGAGAAAGCCTAGAGATTGATTTCACCTCATTATCAACAATGTTTTTCGACTTCTATAGTCACTTCTATCGATTTTTTCTGAATTCATATGCAAGAATCACAAATTAAATTCTACTCCCTCTCTCGAGTGCCGAATAGAACTTATTTCTATATTTTAATTCAATATCTCTATTCCGAAATAATGTTATAGAAATTATAAGCACAAAATTCTTAAATGAAATAAACCTCAAAGGAATTACACTCTCTCGAAACCTATAATTTCCTAGGTTGTGTCATTCTTATATCACGCCTAAACTTCTCTCTCTCGAATGTCGAAATTTAAAGTATCAAATTATTCAATTATTGATCAGGTAATTGAAAGCAATAAGCAAGAATTAACACAAATGAATTAATAGAACAATTAATTGAATTAACTATAAAAGAATCCAAACATGTCTCAAGATCAGTTACATCAAACTCTAGATATTAAAATTAGCTCATAATAATTAAAAACAACATATCAAAAGCGAAATTAAAAACAACATTTTTTCCTGATATTCGATTGAGAT